GTCCCTCTCAGATAGCCTGGTCCTATGTCATGAAGGAAGGAATCAACACAATGGTACAGAACATGAAGGCTAAGCAATTAGAAGTGCAGTAGTAGATCCTATAAATAGTTCTTTTCCCCCTCCAAATATTTTATTTTATTCAAAAGTAAAATACAAAACTCCACATAATCCAAAAAAACCCAACAGAAACAGAAAAGAATACAAAACCCAAAACATTTGACATTAAAAAGGTGCATTAAAAAACAACACATATTATCCCCAACTGAATATTGATTAATACTACAATATTAATTCCCATCCCTTGTGAAAAATACCTTTTTTAAAACCATAAATCTATTTGCAAATCATTGATCTGTCTCTACATACTATATTAGCAACAAAATAATTAATATGAAAAAGATTAATAAAAAATAATTTAAAAGACAAGGTTAAGAACTCTCTGTTAACAAACTATTATTGTAAATCACTCATAGAAAATTTACCATGACATCTTACCTACCCCAAATCATCCCAAAAAATTAAAGGAATTCATCCTGGATTGAATATTCATGTTTGCTTTTTAAAAGCATCTCTTATCCATTATGGTGTAATTAAATATAATAAATTTAGTCTCCATAATGACTTTCTTCCCACCAAAGTCCAGATAGAAGTAATTTCAGTTAAGTGTAATAAATCAATTGTCCAATCTCCCTCAGTCTTTGTAGGGAAAAATAATTTGTCACTTTCCTGTTCAGTCAGACTACTAATAATATTATGACAAAGTGCAGAATTAAGCCTCAAAGAGAGTATAGAATCAATTCAGTTCTCTGGCTGTAAGAATATCTCTTTGGTTCAAATTAAAGTGCTTTTATGTATCTAATAATCCAAAACTAAATGTCTCTGCACATTTTCCACAAGCATTATCATTCTCATCCAACTTTTAAATAAAACTTTCAACTAAAATTTGTCTGCCATCTGAGCCATTGTTTCTCTCTGTAACTGAATCAGAGAAATAAAAGTATGGGTAGTCCTCGACTTACAACAGTTCATTTAGTGACCATTTGAAGTGATAATGGCACTGAAGAAAGTGACTTATGATGGTTTTTCACACAACTGTTGTAGGAGCCAAGGTGGCGCAGTGGTTAAATGCAGCACTGCAGGCTGACTGCTAGATCAGCAGTTCAGCGGTTCAAATCTCACCGGCTCAGGGTTGACTCAGCCTTCCATCCTTCCGAGGTGGGTAAAATGAGGACCCAGATTGTTGTTGGGGGCAATATGCTGACTCTGTAAACCGCTTAGAGAGGCCTGAAAGGCCTATGAAGCGGTATATAAGTCTACTGTTATTGCTATTGTTATTATTATAACTGTTGTAGCATCCCCGTGGTCAGGTGATCAAAATTGAGGTGCTTGATAACTGACTCATATTTATGATAATTGCAATGTCCCCCAATTCATGTGATCATCTTTTTCAACCTTCTGACAAGCAAAATCAATGGGGAAGCTAGATTCCAGATTCACTTAACCACCGGGTTACTAAGTTAACAACTGCAGTGATTCATTTAACAACATCTAGGAACACAGTGATTCGCTAAAAAACATCTAGAAATACTAGTGGAAACAAAGATTATAAAATGGGGCAAAACTCACTTAACAAATGTCTCACTCAGTTACAGAAATTTGGGGCTCAATTGTGGTTTTAAGTCGAGGACTACCTGTATAGAAGTACATAAAGAGTTCTTAAAAGTAGTCAAGATGATGGGGAAGCCTGGAGAACAGTGACCAGGTTTATTTGGCAAGAGTTAGAAAGAGCCAGCTATATGACAGGCTACTAGCTCCTGCAGGCCATTAACATGGTGACAATGAGACAAAATGTCAAATATCCATAACTTAAGTGCTGCTAGATGCCAATACCATTCATAATCTCCGAAGAGTTTATTTTCTCAAAATGAAGGCTTGGCAATAACTCCCATCTTCAAGTGTCATCTCCACAAGCAGCACAACAATTTATATAACAGGCATAACTGGACTGTCTCCCAGGAGTCACTTCAAATACGCCACAAAATTTCAATCTAAATTCATAATTCAAAACAATTCAACAGAAAAGAGCATCTTAACCTTAGCTTGATATTTTTCGATTATTATCTGCTTCTCTGTAATGTATATATGTAAAGGATTGTCAAAACATTACCCTACATTTATGGATGTGTGCAAATCCAAGGGTCAATCACTAAGATTTAGATATCAAGTAATAAGATTTTAAGTATGCTTAAGATGGAATCCTGGGGGGCAGAGGTGGAAGGACTCATTTACTCCCTCATCTCATATTATCATTCTATTTCTTTAACATTTATCTAGGCAGGGGTCTCCAACCTCCAGTATGTGGACGGCAGTGCTCCGCGAACTACAAGGATCAGAGCATTGCAAGTGAGCAAAGCCCCATCTGGGCATGTACAGGATCCAGGCAACATGTGAAACCACACACACCCCGGTCTGCAGAAAAATCACCTTCTATTGAAGGTTGGGGGCTGTTGATCTAGAGCACAGAACATAAACTTCGATGAGCTTCCAAATATTGCTGAACTACCAGATGGATATTTGGGCATATGGAAAATTAGAGAACTGCCGGTTAACATTCTGTTTCTTGCACTACAATCTCTCCTCATTTAGCAACCACATTCCATTCCAAGAATTTCAAAGCAAATTTTTTAAGCAAAATGGTGGCTAAGTGAACATGCGATTGAGAGAGATGTGCTATGAAGATCCCTGGATGCTGTCCTCTCATTCCAATAAAGTTCTCTTGTACAATGTACTGTACCTGAACAATTTTCCTCCCTCACTTTTCCCCCCTCAAAGAGCAGAGATATTGTTTAAATAAGGAATCTCTTTCTGAATTTATTTTCTCTACAAGGTAGTACTTCCCTAAAAAATGCTAGCCACAAGTTTACAAGCTCAGCTCTGAGAACTTAATTAGTCCATTATAATCTTTCAGCCATTCTTGTCTCTGAAACTGATCAGACCTTTATCAGTTTCACACAGAAGCCTTCTGCTGCACTGGTTGCCAATGAATTCTTTACTATTCTTTATTACCATAATATTTGCTAATAGTTGCTAACCAAGGTAGTCTCTAAATGAGGAATGATTTCATTCATTATAATACAAATTATTTCTATTCAGGGAACTAAAGAAATAAATATATAAACTGTGTATTTTAACACCATGTTAAAATGTAAATGTTTCATTTATTTACCATAATTTATTAATTACTAAGAAATATATTTTGTCTTTGCTCTCAGAGGTTAGGGTATACATAGCATCTATCCTGCATTTTTTCTCTGCAACAACAGCAAACCTATGTAAGCTTGAGGGAGAAAGACTTGTCCAAGGCCACACAAAGAGCTTTCAGGAATTACAGTGAACTTGAGTTTGTAGCCTAATCCTGACACTAACCCCAACTTTAATCGTAATTCTACTGAATTATTATTACTATGTGTACGCAATCTTCAGTCAGATTCGCTATCTAAGATTGTTAAAAACTTAATAATTCAAATCCTAACTAAGGATCTAAGTATTATTGAGGGTATGTCTAAGTATATAGGCAGTTCCAAGCAGGATGGTTTTTTTTTTGTAAAATTAGGGTGTTCTTATAAATTCAGTATTGCTTGATATTGAAGAAGTCCTTAAGATCTGTGAAGGCTCCAATCATAATTGATTTCATTTTCCATAAGCATTTTCAATTGCAGGTCCCAATATTTTGAAATTTTTCCTATTGTTTTTCTTCAATCCAAGAATCACCCAGAATAGCAATTTTAAATGAACTCAGATATTCTTTACAAAAACTGCTATATCAAGCAGTTATACAGAAGATGCCTGTCTGTTTGGATCTTAAATATCTGCTCTTTTTCAAAACCCTTCTCAACTTTATGGCCCCAGTAATTTTTATTACATTTAAATCCAAACAATTATAATAGACAACATATATTTGGGAGGGGGAGGAGGTGATAAGAGAACAAAATAGTATACAAAAAGATATAGTTGGATTGTTCTTCATTTCATTTATTTCAATACTAATACCAAAGAGGATGTGCTAGAAGACATATTGTGGCAATTATATAACGTAAGACCTAAAATAACAAATGATGTTCTCTGAAATAATCTACCAAACACAAGTACATAAATTCTAATTCAAGTGTTAACAGGCAACTTGCAATCTAAAAAAATGGTTCTTGCTTGATATATTATAGCTTACTAATAATTTTTTTAAAATCAGAAATTGGCAGGTCATTACAATTGTAGATCAGTTGTAGAATATGTTACTTTACATGATATATGATTAAACTATAGCAATTGCAGGCAAGCTTGGGAAAAGCTTAAATCAAGGGTTTCAAACTCGATTTCATTGACAGCTACATCAGGATTGTGTTTGACCTTGTGGGGCCGGAATGGGCGATGCTGGGGTAGGTGTGGCCAGTTCCAACATCACTCATGTCATGGGCACCTGTGATGGCTCGAGTGCTCTGCCAGAGAAAATGGGCTCCCGAACTCTATTTTCGGCTGTGACGACCTCCTGCAACCCTCTGCCAGCGAAAATGGAGCTGGGAAGGGCAGCATACAGCCCGAGCTGTTTTCATTGGCAGAAGTACCATGGGCCAGTCCTTCACTGTTTCCAGGGCAACCCCACGAGACCAGATCTAAGCACCTTGCAGGACGGATCCAGCCGGCTTCAGAAGAGAATAACAAAGACGCTATTATAGAAAGCTATTATGTAATTAAATAAATGTATCAAAATGTCATTTTGGAATCTTTCAAGATGCAAACTGGACATTGATATGATTAGTCCAATTCTCCTCAGCAGGGTATTCTAATTTGCTGGTAAATGAATAAACTGTATCAACTACCATATCAACTACCATACAAGAATCAAAACCAAATTGCTATATGACAGTATCTCACTCCAAAACATGTGCAAAGCCTTCAAATATGATCTATAAATGTTGTTTTAATTATATCCATATGAGACTTACCATAGTTTCATCTTGTATCACAGATGGTATGACTGACCATGAGAGATTGGCGCTTGCTGTTGTTAAAGAACCAAGAGCACTATTTTTCAGTATGTCTGTAGAATTTGACTTTGATCCATGCCATACTAGTATATTTTCTAAAACAAGAGAAAGTAATCTGCAGTATCTTTTCTGCAGCATGCATTCCATCTATTCAATGTAAGGACAGGGGCAACGAAATAGAAGCCTAGATAAGAGATATTTCTTTCAGCATATTTGTATCTGGATACATCTCTGTGAAACAGAACTGGCCAGAAAGTTTTAAGAGACATAAGGAAAATATAATTTTAAAAGTTCCTGCTGCTACCCTTTATAAGAGCCTATGCATGTATATACTTTGAACCAAACCAATGCCATGTTCAATCACTGCCAAGAGCTTTTAGTAAATAAATGATATCCAGCATGATACAGAATATATCTGAGAATAGAGTGGGGTTCTGCCAAGTTCAGAAAAACTGAGGAGTTCATGGGAAGAGCATTTTACTGGTAAGTTATTTTTTCACAAACCTTATTTTACGCATGGCTATAAAAGTATTACAACCAGGCTCTTGCCATGGACATGCCATGGTAGAACACAGCATACCGTTGTCTGTCACAGGGACATTACATGTTTATTCCTGTAAGTATTTACCTTCAATAAAGCTTGTGATGATCACATTGGCTTTTGGGTCCGCTTTCTTGGATACCTCTCATAGATATAGTCTACTGCAGGCTTTTGGACATTAAATAGCAAGGGTAGGCTATTCAAAAGCAGGAACCCAGAGGAAATAGGACAAGGATCTAGACAAAAGTTTCTCCTGCCATTTCTAAACCATCTTATTTTTCTTTTGTCACAGCAGTTATCAAGATGTCTCTGTATTTATCTACTTTTCTGAGTATCTGTTGTAAATGAGAATCTTCTAATAAAAAAATATTTCATACAATTGGTTCTTTTGAAATTAATAGAGAAAACTCAATTTCTGACTGATACCTGGTATTTAGCTGTTTAGTATTTTAAACAGGCTAAAACAGATGCTCTGATATATTTTTATTTCAGTGTGCTATTAATCATCTAAAATTGAATCTGAATATATTCATTTACTTTAAAAATTATCTTAACATTTCTTTACAAAAATCTGCTGGCACCTGGGATTTCTTCAGTCATTTGGCGTTCATAGCAGCAACCACAGCCAAGAATCTGCTTCAAATAGAACAATATAGGCATAGATGAACAAACTGTCTTTTAAGTTAAAAATAAAGTTGAAGCAGTTTCTACTGCAAGGAGAAGACTATTTGATTGTCCAGAATTCTGCAAGTGCCATTTGTTCATACAGTACTGTTTGTGATGAAACAAGGAAAGAATTCCAGAAGCTGTGCTTTTTTGCTTACCTATTGCTTTGTGCCTTAAAACATTCCAATGGCTTGAAACCAAAACAAATATCACTGCTAGATCTTTGTGGCTTTACTTTAAGTGATCTACAGAATCAATGCAGTTGGCTCCAGAGTTCCAGGTCAACAGTACAAAAACCCCTCCAAATCAAAATAGTTCAAAGCTTACATAGGCAGGAAAGAAATATCAACACAGCTTGAAAACAAAGTTTCATTTAAAATGACACAGCTGCTAAATCTAAGAATATGACTTACCTCTACTGTAGTTCAACCAAGTAGGTTTGACATCTGATTATTTATACTAATAGAATCAAAATTTAATATGCTGAGCCAAACCATACCAGTAAGAAATACTTACATACTAGGGTTTTCTTTGAATAGGATTTCAGATTCATATGGGAAACATTGGATTTTTTTATCATGAATTTCAAATACAAATGTTGTCTCAAATTGACATGGTTCAAATTCAAAAATATTCAATGCTACTTTGCAGTGGTGCATTTCTTTGATTTTTAAAAAAAGAATGAATATAATTTGAATCCAAGATAGCAGACAGACCAGCCGGTCGCTCCTGCCCCTCGCCCTGCCACTGCTGCTCTTCTGGGGCGGTGTGACTGTGCAGGAGCTGAGTCCATGAGGGAGAAATGTCTGTCAGGCTCTGGGGTAAGAGGCACACCGGCCAGGAAGTGGTCACACTCCCTTGCAGAAATTGTGGGAGGGGGGCTATGCTAACTTGTTCTCAGTGGAGAGCTGGGTGGGGGGGACTTCATTGACACTCTTCTGGTTTCTGGCACATGCATGTATGCTAGCTGTCTTCACATATGCAAGTGCGCCACAAACCAGAAGATCAGGTGGCCGGTGCACATAGTGTGCTGGAAACTGGAAGATCACAGCTGCTCTTTCAGTCTCCAGCATGCCGGCGTAGGCGCACTCCCATTTTGACACTTGATATCGTAAAGGTTCACCAACACTGGTATATAGGGCTTCTTGACTGAGCAGGATTTGGACTGGAAGACCTCCAACGTCCCTTCTGTTATTCTGACATGATTGTGCCCATGGCTCTCATGGCCAATTGTTCCCAAAACTCTTTGTTGCTTGCAGAGGAGCTGAAGGTTCCTGCGCTGAAAAAGTCCAAAAGATTGCCAGAATGCCGCTGGAAGAAAACTCAGAACAAATCCAACTGAACACAAGTTACAGCCACTATTAAGTCGTACATCATGATGGTAAGAGCAGCGAAACATCACTATTTCTCCAGTCTTGTTGCATCCACAGAATGTCATCTGACGACCCTGGTCCCTCCTTGGGAAGGAAAGCTCAGACAAACTCTCATGGGGACAGATAAAATTGCTTAGATCTGTTTAGTTTGAGATCATGCAGGTCCATTAGAGATATAGAGGGAACAGATTTGCCTAGTTATCCAGGAACAGTTTGATTCTGTTGGACTTGAGGCAGTGGTTAGGTTCCTTGCAGCTGTCCTTATTAGATCCTTGTTCCCTCTGTCTGGTAAAAGCCTTCAGAGAGGAACCAGCAGGTGGCTCCAGGTAGTGATTAAAATTTCATCATTGCAGAGGTATGTGTGTATTCCTGGCATCATTTAAGGATGTCTTGGTCCACCCCTTTCTCAAGAAACCATCATTAGGCCCAAGCTGCCTGCACAATTTCCCATCAAGTTTATCACTTCTCCCTTTTTAGGAAAGGTGGTGGAAAAAGTTATTGCATTGCAACTCCATAGGGCCTAGATGAAATAGATAGTGTGGAAACCCTTCAGCTGGGTTTCAGGCAGTGACATGCAGACAGGGGAGGCAGGGGAGGCAAAGCCTCACCACTGTCATCATGAAAAGAAAAAAAATGTAAAAGGAAAAAGGCAAGAGCTAAGGTCATGCTGAGCTAGTTGCTGCCAGAGTCATAGTGGATGACTCTGCTTAGTGCTTAACTGTTTAAAAAAGCCTCTAAAAAGTGCCCTCTACAGGAGGCAGGAGAACCATGTGCCTCATTTAGTCTGATTTTATGATCATTCGAGCAGAGTTAAGCAAGGGTTAAAAGCCAAAAAATTCCTTATGTGGATGAGGCACGTGGTTCTCTTGCCTCCTTCCGTAGAGGGTGTTTTTTTAGAGATTTTTTTAAACAGTTAAGCAGAGTCATCCATTGGGGACTCTGGCAGCAGCTAACCCAGCCTAACCTCAGCAGCTCTTGCTTTTTTCCTTTTATATTTTTACATTTTCATGATGGCAGGCAAGAGCAGAGTTGAAATCCTCTATGATTGTGAAACAGCTGGAAAAGGTATGTGGGTCGGAGGGAGGGGGAGGAATTCAAAATTAATGTAATTTGTAAGTAATTGTAAGTAATTTGTGTGTGTGTGTGTGTGTGTGTGCGCGCGCGCGCGCATGTGTTTGTTTCTTCACTCAAACAAACTCTCAATTTGAGAGTTTGTTTGAAAAGAGAGGGAAGGAGAGGCAGGGAGGGCAGCCCGCCAGCTTTCTTTTTTACCCGCCTCTGCTGGCGGGCTGGCGCTTTCTTTCTTTTGCCGTAAAAGAAAGAAAGCGGCTTTTGCAGCGGGGTGGGCAAAAGCTGCTTTCTTTCTTTTTGCCCACCCCGCCACTATGTCCGACATAGAGGTGGCCCGTCTCTATGTCGGACATAGCGGCGGGGCGGGCAAAAGCATTTTCCACTATGCCCTTGACCCTTGCAATACTTTTCTACTAGAGAACTGCCCCACCCATTTGGCCTTGCAGAAGACCATTAAAACTTGATTTTGCCAGTTGTCTTTGGACTCCAAAGGAGCACTTGCTGCTATAAGTGGTTGATGAGGTAAAAAAAAATCTTTTCTCCAAACCATCCACCTCCTGGGTTCCAGTTTTTTTTTTAAATAGTTTTAAATCTTAATTGCTTTTCTATTTATCTTTTTATGTTCTTTAAGCCTCCCAGAGTAGTCTATTGGGGAGACAGTATCTCAGATGGATGATTGATTAATTGATTGATTGATTGATAGACAGACACACAGACACATATAGCAGTTGGACTGATACAATTACCTCATCATTTAATTTTTTTTTAAAGCAAGAACAGCTAAATAATTCGGCACCCTTCACATAAGCAATAGGGTACATTTAGAACTACAATACATCTTCATTGAATTTCTTTCTTCTTTCGTCTTTGAATTAATCTAATGTCAAAAATAATGTTTTAGTATATTATATATTCATATATTATTGGCAAAAATATCTTTATGATTTTCTCTCCCAGGTATATGTATAAATACTGTTTAAATGACTTTAATGTTATCCTCAAGATAAAAATAAATTTTAATATTGGCATAATTTGTTGTTCACTGAGATTCTATGATTCCTTTTTAATATATTTTGACTAAAAACCACATGAAATTCCCTTCTACGGCATAGCTGGAAAACTGTAGTCATAAGGCAACTACAACTACCATATGGCCAGTAAGAGATAAAAATGAAAGAAAGAAACCAGCCAACTTTACACACCTGAAGGTAATGTCCTGTTCTGGGGTGCGCTCACTTGGCTTATACTCTGTTGAAGCAAATGCAGGCATTCTCCCAAGCAACTGAGAGCAGCAGCAGAGGTAGCTTTTAAAAGCAGAAAGTCTTGATCAAAGGCAGAAAGAGGACCAGAACCTGGAAGGGATTCAATGCCTTGCACAAGGTTTTTCTGTTGTCCTTCCACTTGGGCCATAATCTGCAAATATAGTGGATAAGGAAATGTGAGTCCTTTATGAAAAAGTATTAGAAGAGAGATTAATTTCCCGTGAATAAACAGAAAATGAGTGCAAGGAAAAATAATGTAGAAATCACTTAGAACAGAATAAAGAGAATTACGTTACAGAATACCATAGAAGTCAGAGAACTTATCTTAATGGCAACTATGAAAAAGGATTCTTGTTGAAATGATGAAATAAAAGAGAGTGTGAATGAAGAAAATTATATATAAAAGAATGTTGCAGAAATGAGGATAACGGAAAGTTATATAATATGAAAACAAGTAAAAGATGGTTACAAAGAATGTACTGAAAAAGAACAGAAACACTTAAAAGGAGAGAAAGGACAACTTTGATGGAAATAAAAAGTGCTATGAAATATATGGAGAAAGTCAAACATGTCCATATTACAATGACTAAAAATAAAAATAAAGATTCATAATGATTTGGGATGAAATAAAGTGAGAAAGTGCTAAAAGGACCATTACAAAGATTTTATGACAAATACAATGATAAACCTAAACACTTTGAGAAGATTGAAAAAATAGTATTATAATAAAGAATATTAAAGAGTAGAAAACTGTTAAAATCTGGATATGGTTAGTTTATGTACGGAGTGGGTTGGGCAACCAGTTTAATGAATGTGTACAGATTGCACCTTAGTCTAACAATTGGGAGAATTCTGTTATTAAGTAGCAAGATTAGTTTCTTCATTACCCCTAGAAAGTATTTGTCAGAATGTATACAAAGATTATAATTAGATGCATATAGAGTCCAAGAGTGGTATCAAGTACCTTTTACCTGCATATTGTTACAATAAATCCACCTTTCCCAAAATGTCATTGTACTGTTTTTATTGTTCATTTGTGTTCATTTTGGTGTTTGCGTTTTTAGGGAGTACATAATGGATATAAGATCATACTAAAGGCAGTTCGACAGAAAAGTTTAAGAACCTTTGTTTTTTAAAAATCAGGTTTTGGCTTGATCTTTATTTCCAAAAACATATCTGGAACAACATAGATTCCATAAGCATCCTTAAATGAAAAAACAGATAAAATTGAGCTAGGTAAGTAGAAACTATTCTGAGAACTAGACAGGTAGCAGGAAGCAATCTTAACAGTCTCTCATCTGATAAATGGATGCTTTCTTATTGCCTATCTCTACATTACCAATTATTTTGGTTATAGAACTCTTCTTATGAGAACATGCATGGTATATTCTAAACTAAAGATCATTACCAGCCAACAGAATCAAATAATGCCGCCCATCTTCACCCTGCATTAAAACAATAACAACTGACATAATAGCTACTGCCTTGACATGTTGCTGACATATTGAATCTAACCTCAACTGCCCACACTGTACTACTAAGTAGATAATATGCTTATAAAGCCTGAATTTAAGTAGTCATAATATATAGCTTTGATTTTTAAGAGAGACAATTTAACAACTTTAAATTTTCAAATCCAATTATAAGGTATGATAGCACAAATTATAATTTGATTCTTTTTATAAGAAATTGGTCTAATGGAAGATAGTAAAGACACAAAATGTATATAAAAGAGAATTGCCTTACCCAATCCTTGGTACATTATGTGGTAGGTTTGAAATTCAACTGTTACGTAATGTATCAAATTTCATTAAAGTTTTTCCCATTATATTTAAAAATTTACCATCAATAACCTCAATGTTTTGCCTGTTTATGTATTCAAGCCACAGTTCCATTAGCAAAAGCTTTCACTGTTGAGGCTTTCCCTTTTTAAAAAATAATTACTATATACATGTTCATTACTTTGCATTGGAAAACAATAATTGATGTTTGATTCGGTTTTTTTCTTTTGAAGTTTGAAAACATAAGGACATTTGAAACAGAATAGGGCTCTGTAATTCTGTAATTCTGTAATGTAATTCTATCTCAAACACAAAATATTAAATTGAACCCATATTATTCTAGTTTCTTCTTTCATCAAATACTGAACTTTATTATTATAGATATTTAATACTGAAAGCCAAGATGCAGCTTTTAAAAAATATAAAATCTGCAGAATTAGGGCTTGAATCTTTCACATAACCTGCTAGCTGCCACAATGGGACACTTTTTCCTTCCAAAAAGAATGGGGGGGAAAACCACACACACATATACACATTCATGCAAGACATGTTTTTTGGTTTTATGACTGCCCACTCTTAACAAAGCAGAGATTTTGTGAGAATGTCCCTAAGATGCACTTGAAACTTCAATTATGTTTAACAGCCCAAAACACTTCAAAACATTTGCTCTACACAAATCCTCTACCAAATCAACTTAGTAAAAACCAGTAGTTAGCTTTTAAGAATTTCAACCATTAAGACAAATTATTAGTGTTAGATTTTATAGTGTTCTATAGTACTAAGAAGAAAAAAGTCTAAATAAATATGTAACCATGTACTCCAGAGATTATATCACATTTTCACCCATAGAAGAATTTCACATAATTCTTACTTCTCTGACTCCATGAAGCTGGCAGGGATACTGAGGTTTGGTTTTTCGGGCTACCACAGGAGATTTGTGATGTGTAATGGTGATAACTGGAGGCCCACTCTGAGTTACGATTTTTTGAGAACTGAGAGATGTGGAGTTAGCTGTTCCAAGGGGCAACAAAGTCAAGCTTTTTGCTCGTGAAGTCAGAGTGCTCTAGAAAAATGAGAAAGTTAAAGTAAAATTATATGAAAAATGATGACTTCTCCTAAATAACAAAAAAATATTTGTACTTGTGAAGAAATGAAAGCATTGTTGTTATTAATTTATTTCCCTAAAGTAATATTTTTATCGGTATGGCGTTCAAAACAGTAAAAAAACAAGACATCTAATCCAATAAAATAAAATGTTATCTAAAATTACTGTCAATTAAGTGCCAAAAATGTTAAAGAGGACTCTCGATCTTTTCTATGACCTCCTGATGAAAAGAATGGAACTTCAGGTCTTTCATGGATTGATGGCCAAATAGAGAAAAGTTCGTTTTCATACGCCCAGCAAGCACATTTTTGAAAATAAGGATAGCTTTATTTATTTATTGAATTTATATTTCTGCCTATTTGCCCATGGTAACTCAAGGTGGCTTACAGAATATAAAACCACATTTAAAACAATAAAATAACAAAAATAATCAAATAAATTAATATAGTACAATAAAACAAAATAACAAAATCACTCCCACCTCCCATGACCACCCCCTTCCCCAGCAGATCACACAAGCCATCACAGAGAAGGCCGTTCTTCTGAGTCCCACCAGGTATACCTCCCTCGGGGATGGGACCTGCAACATTCCCTACCTCCCCACTCTGATAGGTTGGGTAGATGTGAGCAGCAAGAGAGGGTACCTCAGATAACCTAGTCCCAAGCTATGAAGGACTTTAAAGATGATAACTAGACCTTGAATTGCACCCAGAAGCAAATCAGCAACCAGTGCAGCTCCTGCAGAAAAGGTGATATATGTGCAAACCTGGGTCTGCACAAAACCATGCAGACCGCTGCATTTTGCACCAACTGGAGCTTCCGGGTGCTCTTCAAGGGCAGCCCACATAGAGCATGTTGCAATAGTCAAGACAGGAAGAATGCCAAGAAGGCTTCTCATAGTATTAATAGCCAAACAAACTCATAATGAGAATAAATGATCTCCCGGCTACTCAAATCCTAATATGTTTAAAGTTTATGCTAAAATGAATAACTTGAATTCTGAAAACATCTTTTTTTCCTTCTAATTCTATTTTATTCAAAAGATTAGTTAAAATTCAAACACAAAACTTCAAAAGAAATTATTTCAAAGATAAAAAATCCACAAAACAAGACTTTAAAAAACTGCTTTAAAAAAATTTAAAACACACATATTATCTCACATAGTTGAATTCTGATTAATATATAACAATATTAATTTCTCAGCCTTTGCGAAACAGCCCCCTAAAATCTTTAAACACTAAATCTACTTACAATACTAAATCTATCTATTTATTAGCCTGATACCTATATACTATATTAACGAGCAAATAGTTAACAGGAAGAACGAAAATTATAAGAAAGACAAGACTGAAGTTTCAAAACTCTCTGTCAACAAACTGTTACTATTATCAAGTTGAAAATTTACCATGGCATCTTATCTATCACAAATCGTCCCAAAAGATAACAGTGATTTGTCCTAGATCAAATATCCATGTTTATTTCTTAATACCATCTCTTATTATATTTAATCAGAGAGCAATTGATAAATCCAATCTCCAAAATTGGTCTATCTTCCTCAAAAAATCCAGATGAAATTGTTTTGCAGTTAAATGTGATAAATCTATTTTCCAATCTCCCTTGATCTTCTTAGAGAAAGATAATTTGTTACTTCTCCACATACTCAGGTTTTTGCTGTTGTAAACTAATTCAGCTTGAACTTCAGAGAGACATACCAGGTCAACTCAAAAGCTTTAAATCTATGAATTCTAAGTATATAGATGTCTATGGAAATTCTTAATCATCCAGATCATGGTTGTCCCAAAGGGGCTTTTTCAAGAGGCAACTGGACTTTCTGGTTTTTCATTGAAGACATTTCACTTCTCATCCAAGAAGCGGATCTGAAGAAGCTTCTTGGATGAGAAGCAAAATGTCTTTAAAGAAAAGCCAGAAAGTCCAGGTACATTTTAAAAAAGCACTAAGGGACTAAGTCTATAGAGTTCGTATTTCTTTCCAATGAATCTATTGCTTTCGGATCACATTTCTTTTGTGAGTCTAGAATTTATCTATGGTCAGATGAATCATTCCACAACCATTAACATTTCAACAAACTTTTTTAAAAAAACTTTCAAGTAAGTATTGCATATTACCAAACAATCTTTTTTTAAATGTCAGCCACAGCTTGTCTGTAACATAATACTTTATTGCAAGTTATTGTGTAACTTGTCAGCGGTAGATAACAAAACATAGGAATCCTCAGAATGAAAAAAATAACTTTAAAAACTGAATATTTCTGGATATTTTGATCAAAAATTAAAAGAATTAAAAAGATAAGCTCCAAACATTTTACAAATTAATAAAAATCCAATATAGATGTAAATCAAATAAAAATACTTTCACTATTCCAAGCTATGGTTTTTTAATAATAAAGCAGGTTATTCAAAACAACAACATACGGTATTTTTCAGAGTATAAGATGTACCTTTTCCCCTCCCAACAGAGGGAAATGTGGGTGCACCTTATATACTGAATATAGCCCTACCCACTGGCCCCTAACCTTTTGGCCTCTGTCTCCCAGCAATTTACCTCTTTGCAGCAAAAGGGGGGGGGGGCTTGCGGAGGCTTCAATAAGCTATAGCAATCCCTGCAGCTGATGATGGGAAGAAACTGAAAGTGAAACTTGCAGTTTGCTCCGGAGGCAAATTGCTGAGAGGCAGATTTTTTTCTTCTTGTGCTAATCAGGCTGTTTGCTGCAAAGAGGTAAGTCAACAACTATAAATGCCTATAGAATGTTCAAATTATTAGACTTATTTTTTAAAGACTGCTTTATTATTATTCTAGACAACTTAACAAAACGAAGAAGCTTTTTAAAATAAATGCTTGATCTGAAGAGGCCCAGTGCTATTGTTTTAAAAAGTGATATTCTTTCAAATAGCAGAGAATAACTATTCTTCCAGAAAGTACATCGATTTTAACAGCATCTGTACAAGTATAGTCTGAAATATAACACTACAAACAGTGTATATTGTCTGTACTGTTTGTTGCAAGGAGGCAAATTGCTGGGAGGCAGAGGCAGATATTTTTCCCTTGTTTTCCTGCCCAAAATCTAGGTGTGTCTTATACTTCGGAGCGTCTTATACTCCGAAAATTATGGCAACTCAAAGGGAAAGAGGAAAAAAACCCAGATAAAGTCCAGCAGGGGGTAAAATAAATTGGCATTCAACCAGCTGGTCAGCTTTTAAAGATAAAAAAATAAAAATAAAACAAAAGCTTCAAAAAGTGAAGTTAAAACCCAAGCATTCTTAAGAAAATGAACTGCTGGGAAGAAAGAGGGAACTGGAATCTTCAAAACTCCCCTTCCCAGGTGGGTCCATGGACATCCAAAAGCTATCTTGGGTCATTCCTAAGTGTTCCCATTCAAATCCATGAAGCATCTCTGCAAAAAAAACCAGTTTTGGCAGCAAAATTGGTAGATCGTTGGCAGGAAAAATAAAACTTCCTATCATTCAGCAGCCATCTTGGAGAGGAGTCCACCAGTACACATTTTTCAATCTGGAAATAATATGATTCTGGATCATTACCACTTAGTAATCTAGCTACTGTATATATTAACTGAAGCTTTCTGAGGTTCTTAAAAGATAACTATTATAAACAGATCACATGTAGCTATCAAAGTTAATATAATTAAAATATTTGCTACTAATATTTAACTAAATATAAATGTGGATATGCATTCCTTCCCACTGCCACTATATTGAGATCTGGAAACAGTCAAATATCTCAGATTGCAAACCTGCTTTTCCAAGGAGAATGCAACCCCATTCAAGCAGGCTAAAATTGAATTCCAGTTTGTGGTGGTGGTGGGGATGTTTCAAAAGTATTTCCATCTTATTAAGATTTGATTTGTTTGTTTATTCTTATCTACTCCATAAGTGAACTGAGGCATGCCAAATGAATCAACTGTGAGAAAGTAGAGAGCAATATAAATGGCAACAGCTCTAAACCTTTAAATAATCTGCCCCAGTAGTTCCTGTAGGCATGGAATAATCCAATGGACAGGTTAATAACTTAAATGTTGAACACCACATTTGCATGACCTTCTAGATATGGCTGACAGAAAGAAAACATTTTGTACTAGATGACATATCTAAATGTGCTATAGAACAGGAATTTGAAGGCTTCAAAGAAGGTGAAGATGTTGAGTGGGACAGGATTCTGGGATTACATACCAAATTTCAGCAGCAAAATGACCCAATCTATGAAATGTACTCATCAAAAAAAAAAATCACCTTTGTGGCTTTCAACATAGACATGAAATAATAGCAAAACACAAATATCTAACTTATCATGAGACAGATCATTTTTGTCAAAAAAATGTAAAATAAATTAAGAGATGAACTGGTGACCAAGATATTCCTGGCATGCAGACCTGTTAAATGGTGGCCCGCAGACTGGATATGGCCCACGCAGGCTATGCTCACCCTAGCTCCGCAAAGGCAAATAACAATGCAATATGTCACAATCTGACCTGCAATGTGATCAATTTGACACTTCTGATGGCATGCCACCAAGTTATCTGGTAGATTACCTCTCCCTGATTACGTCAGTTTGTCCCATTAAATCTAGAAGAGAAAGGTTAGAGAAGGATGTTGCAGTTATCATCTGCCAGAGACCTACATTCAGGAGGCAGGTCTTCTCTATTGCACCTTGTGGAATATTTCTCTCCAAAAGTCATATTAGCTTCATTCCCATTATCACTCTGGATTATATGCCAGCAAAATCTTGATACCTGGTTTTACCACCATTCCACAGAACCAGATGGCTCCATGGAGATTGATCTTTTTACTGTATGGTTTGTATGTTTTAATTTTCTAGCATTTTAAATTTGCAATAATTTTATATGTTTATAATTATTTTTATATATTTGTTGTTTTCATTTATTGTTGTACATCACCCACAGTCACTTTTTATAAAATGGGCAGTTACATAAATATGATAGGTAGGTAGGTAGGTAGGTAGGTAGGTAGGTAGGTAGGTAGGTAGGTAGATGACAGACAGTCAGACAGACAGACAGATAGATAGATATAGATAGGTAGATAGGTAGGTAGGTAGGTAGGTAGGTAGGTAGGTAGGTAGGTAGGTAGGTAG